ATGCTCAGTCATGTAGTAATTTTCAAAAGCAAGTAGGAAAGCTATGGGCAGTAGAATTAGATTAAAGTAAAGTTATCATTAATAACACTCAGTTACTGACGATTCTGTAGTTTTTCATAAACAAGTTATCCTCCTCCTGCATGAACGAACCGTTATCAATTGAGCCAATTTAAGAAATTGTTGATTGCATTTTCTTGCCATTAATACAATCAAACGTAGTGCCATACAGATAAATAATTCTCCCTCTTACAGCGTCATTAGTTATACAGGCTTAATTAGAGGACCTCGGCAAAAATGAGGTTTATCGGCTATGTGGCAAGCCAACAGCGCTTGAGAGACATTTATTTCGGTCATACAGTTCCATTGCGTACTTCGATAGACTAATCTTTGCATAACTCATTTCAACCTTCAAGTTTTGAGTTTACAATCAGAAAATGGCAGTTTCGTCATGGGAAGTTTGCTGTTGGTTCGTTTACATCTGCGCACCTGCACTGATGACTCGTCTTGCATAGCCGTTTGTGGCTAAATCATTGCCATTTGAATTTCCATTCTAGTTCGTACTCACTTTATCTGGTGTTGCAGATTATCAGCTAGACACGGGCGCCATAATAACATGGACAATAACGGTCAAAATTCGGTTAAGTATGCGAGCTGAATTATATTGTAAGCGGGTGATTGTGTCGGCATTCCCGCAGACATCATGTCTAGAGTAAAGGTGTCTGCAGAGATCTGGGAAAACGTTATGACGAGGGTCAGCGGCTAAATGTTTTTCGCAAGCCACAGACAATAAGCCCGCCTGGTTTACGAGTAGTTTCTTGTCAACCTGTTATCTCCGGCAGCTTGCTAAGAGTATAGGCGTGAATACCCAAAAAACCAATGTTATCATGTTTTGTATAATGGAGGAGGGATTATTTACTTGGATCCAACTGTGGAGAAGAAAGAATATGAAAGTTCATTCCTCCGTAACTTCACATTTCAAAGTATGTAGATATTATGTTCAACCGGGGTATTATTAAGAGATTTTTTAATGCGTTCTTGGACACTTCAAATACGGAGAAGTCCTGAAGACAAGGAATGATTTAAAGAAAGAGCTGAAATTGACCAAAACTATTTTGATTTATTCTTGACACCGAAAATAGACACACGAGATCATTTTCAAATCTGAACCCGAGAACCTCTATGTGCATGAAACTCCTACGTTATCTAAAATTAGGCCGTGTCTTAAGTTGACTTAGCGGACGAAGATATGCAGGTGCCTAGAGGCAAAGTAAATTTAGGAGATCGAATGTCATTAGTTTTTTCTTAAACAGCTACGGTTCTCGCCAAATCCCATGTAGGACGTTTTGAAAACCAAATCAACTAGAGAGAGAAAGTGGTCGGTGCCCTGTATTTATATGAATATATTAATGGATTTGTAATAGTGTTTCTGCCTGTAGTACCTGGGAAAATTAGATGTCATAGACTATTGGTTCCTGGTGGAACCCCTGGATATTTCGGGGACGGAATCAAAAGCGCTGGTGTCTATGTATAATAATTTCCATCCAATTGTATCCAAAGTAAACGACCAGTTGAACAGGATATTATCGCTGCCGTAAAAAACCCCCCGGAGAGTTTTATTTTTAACAGTCATGCTATCATTCTGGTCCTACAAACCAAGGAAACGAAAATTTTCGAACTCGGTAGAAAGCTTTGACAAGAAGCTAACGCAGTAGAATTCGGGAGGGGTCAGTTCACCTTTCCGGCACAGCACGATATTGGTGGAGCTAGTGAGATAACCTCGAATCTGTAACAATTGCAAATTTTTTTGCTAATTTAAGCTAAAACTGACACTCGTGATTAGAGATGAAGCGGAAAAGGAATGTATACTTGTTTATATGCAAAATATTCGGGGTTTGTTCAGTAAAGGTGTTGAGGAACTTATTCGGCTCTCTGGAGAAAAGTTAGAGGAAGATAAAGTAACCACTCTTTAAGACATCATTTGTACTATTAGGGTGCTGTTATTGGTTCTGATGGAGAACAAGGTGATAGTAACGCAGATGAGTCCCCAGATCCTCTAATTCCTTCCTTTGGGGGACTCGATATAGGTTAGAATTTATTCTCTAGAGAAAGTGCTCCATCAGCCAGACATAGGGCCTCAATCAGCGTACGACCGTTAAACATGAATTCTGTCATTTGACGGGGTTAAATAGATTACTATAGGCGTTTCGAAGAGGCGTAAGTGATTTGGGATGGCGGCCGCATACATTGTTCGCCATGTCAATTGTTCAACCCGACTTAATCCCCCGATTTTCTGTTTATTTGCCGAACATTGTGTGTGAAAGACTGCATATTTGATGGATTAATTACCGTTATCGATCAGTAGAGGTGTTTTGAGACGTTCTCGTAGAGTGAGCGGACCTTGCGGAATTATGAAACTGCGTATGAGTTTAGGCATGAATCATATAGGAGACATTCTTCTATTCAAAATCGTTTCATTTCATTTGATGCATGCATTTGGTCATACATTAATAGTCGACCGGATAACATTCGACTCACGTATCCATCGGAGACGGCAGACTTCATACAAGAAAATATCCTGAGCAGAAAGTTGGATCACGACTTCATCATACCTGGTTTATTGCTATATGACTGATCCTAGATCCCTCCCATTAACGTTTGTTATCTGGCCTGAGAACGTTCTTAAGTGTTGCCATGCTCATTCATCTTATTGGTAATAAGAATATTTGGGTAAATTTTTAATGTGAAACAGGCTGCCGATTAGATTCGCTCACTAGCAAAAGGGGAAAGTTTACTCAAATTACTCAGGATCTAGGTGGCAGCAATCAAGTCTAAGCATTGCAACCTGATTAACGAGAGGTGAGCGCTGAGACCATGCCTGATGGTTTGATCACTTTTCTTCCAACACTATTGTGTTTCCCGACCCTTACGTAAGCCCTACACGCGAAGATCGGAGGGTCACAAACCCGGGGGTGAACGCCTCGTAGGCTAAACAAACCAGCGGGGGATGCACCCTAACCTATTCATTTCTTACTTAGGTTGACTGATTTCAAAAATCCGGACAAAATCGTCCTGTTTCCTTTAAGCGTTTTTGAAATTTGGAGTTGTGCGAGCACACACAACATAACTCGAAGGTGAACCACCACCAGAGTGAAGGGGAAGTGTTCGAATCAATAGAAAACAAGGATGGGGAAAGCTGACAGATGATTTGAGAAATAAGAAGGCCTCATAAGCATAGGTTTCTTGTAATGCTGACGTTTCGGAGAGACTGTTCAGCTCACCATGGTTAAGGCGTAAAATGCACTTAATTAGATAGAAGTAGAAGTGGCATGTTATGCTGACCGGTCGCATGCTGATTGATTTTCCTTTGCCCTACCATCTTAGCTCGGGACAACTCACGAGCAAAGTGGCTAGCAGATGGGGCGGGACACTCAGATACAAACTCCATCAATAGAATCGCGACCTTGCTGCAACTTACAGGGGCCTGCGTCATTACGTTCGTAAAGGTCAGGACAAGACAACCACACAGAACTTAAGAAGGTCGCACAGACAGCCCGAAAACGAGCTCACTTGGCGAGCGAGGAAACAGTCGCCAGACCGATCTACCCCGACAGAGAGGCCCAGACACCTCCGCCCGACGAAGTGAGGACTCACAATGCACGCAGCTAAAATTCCCGCCATACATGCCCCGAAAGGCGGACAGTGAGAGAAGGGAAGAGTCGATCAGCAAGAGGCCGATCAACACGGCATGCCACTTCATTTTCTGTTTGATTAAGGGCATTTTACGTTTTAACAATGGTAAGCCGACCGGGCTCTCCGAAACGTTAGGATTGTACTGAACCTGTCCCGATGAGTTCTTGTTATTGTTCAAAGAAAACGAGGGCTGATAGATCTTTGTTGAAACATCTCAAAAAGTAACAGGGACACAAGGAAACCCGATGGAGGTCACAGTTTGTCTTACAGGTGCTGCTTCTGTTTGTATTTTATTCCAACTTGCTTAGAGTCTGTTCTTCTTAAAATGAAAGCTATATTTACGATATAAATATAAATGCGCCACCACATAGTCCAGCAGTGTTTGTTAGCACGACAATCGCCCTGATATAGCGAAAAACAAGGCATTCTCTGTTAACACAAGCCGAATTCCACGTACTGTGGAGAATTACCAACGATACAAGTAATGGTCAAACCAACCCTCATTCAGCTTGGCAGTGGGACAAACTCTCTGGCCTAAAGTTATCTTACGATGGACGAATGTGGATATCCTCAATCCTTTATTCCACTTTGTAATAGGCAAATGCCTACTCCTTTATCGCAGGCTGCTAGAAGTTCTGCCTGCCTTCAGAAGCAGCTGTACTAACGGTCGATTGGAGATGTAGCCAATATGACTACTTTCACCCCTATCTTGGCTGCCTTCGGACTGCGCCAGCTTCAAAAATAGCGTTGCCGTCGACAGACCCCTCTGCTCACCGTTGATTGGTTCCCATGGTATTGACCGCAGGCCACTGGCCGTGGAGGTTCGCTCGACGCACGCAGTGTTGCGTCTGTCACTACCTCGCTCCCTGGGCGTGCTGGCTGTACAGACGCAGGCTGATTACGGGTGATCGCCCTTTCCCACGTTGCTCCTGTCCCCTCAAGTGCGGGAAGAAGAAGCTGAAACTGTGTGATAATTGCATGTGAGAGCGACGAACATTACGGAGCCTGGCCAGTCTCTCACAACGCGCCTCATTGCTGTTGATGCTCCCGAAAAATCCTTTGATAAACAAGTCGACCGCAGGAGGCCACTAGCAGCAAGGCTGACATTATTCTGGTTACAGGTCACCATTGTAACTGTTTGACTGCATTCTGTTTCCACTGGACGCATTAGTTGCACCAAAAACGACTACAATCTGATAAATTCAAACACGACTCGCCTTCAACACTCGCCCCCACCTCCATACGTCGAAATTGATCCGGGAAAGGTCACGCCTCTGCTCGACAAACCGGAAGAAATTTCCGACGAGAAGATGCCCTCAGTCTCCTTTGCCTCTGACTCCCACAGGGGCGGAGGAGGCGAACAGAGTGACACAGGTCGTAACGGTGGAGGTGATGGCTCTGGTGCTCAACTACGGGTCCCAACTATGCCTTCGCTGACCCGCGGATTTTCACTTGTTCCCGAACGGCTGGTAAAGGGCAGTTCCCACCAAAGGCAGGGAAACAAGGGGATGTTTGGTTGTGAAACTGCCATTCGCATTCTCGCCTACCTGGCCGCATTCGTTACCCTTCCATTTTCACTGGTCATGTGCCTAAAGGTGATTGCTCAGTACGAGCGTGCGGTTGTATTCAGACTTGGTCGCCTAGTTTCTGAGATACCAAAAGGACCAGGATTGGTGTTCATCCTTCCCTGCCTAGACAACGTGAAAACAATTGATCTGCGAACCTTCACCTTCAATGTTCCTACTCAGGAAGTGCTCACAAAGGATTCTGTGACGGTCGCCGTGGACGCAGTCGTCTACTACCGGATATTTGACCCTGTCATGTCCGTTGTCAATGTTGAGGACGCCAATCGTTCTACACGCCTTCTAGCTCAGACCACACTGCGGAATGTGCTCGGTACAGTGGATCTTTACCAACTGCTCACTGCCCGCGAACAGATTGCCCACCTCATGCAGGATTGTCTGGATCAGGCGACGGAAACATGGGGCGTCAAAGTGGAACGCGTTGATATCAAGGACGTTCGTCTGCCCATCCAACTCCAGAGGGCCATGGCAGCCGAAGCCGAGGCCGCTCGAGAGGCGAAGGCCAAGGTCATTGCCGCTGAGGGCGAACAACGGGCCTCCGTAGCCCTGAAGGCTGCCGCCATGGAGATTGGAGAATGCCCCATTGCTTTGCAATTGCGTTATCTCCAGACCCTTTCCAGTATATCGGATGAGAAGAATTCAACCATCATATTTCCCCTGCCGATTGACCTCCTGAGTCTCTTTCATCAGGCCTATTCTGGACATCTGATGTCTGTTCGGGACAGTCGGCAACAGAGTGAAGGCACGCTGCAGAGCGATGATATTATACCGCCGCCACCGCCCCAACGAGCTCACATGGCGGCTCATAAGGTGCAGTCTGCCGACAACGGGGAAGAAGCTCTGATCTGACAGTTCAGAGGACCGTTTTATTCCTAAATTCCATATGTCATGAAATACACTGAGCTTAAGACACTGTTCATCTCGGTTCGTCGTTCGACAAAAACACAAAACGCGAAGAAACGAACAGAATGCTAAAACAAGAAAGGAGAGATTTATTATCCATTCACGCTACAACCAATCCCTCTCCAAACTCCTGTCCACCAACCAACCTAACAGTAAAGTCGGGCAGCGCGTGCATCCATTACCTCCTCGGCAGAGGATGCGGATCTCACCGTTGCCGGTGATTTTATGGTCAGATCCTCATTATGCATGCATAACTTGTTGGGCACTTGACCCATCTCGTCTGCCCCTCAAAGGCCACCGCAGCGAGCGCAGTAACGGCAAGAAGCACGAAGGATTAAGTTAGCCTCTTTGTGCATTTATATGTGTGCGTGTATGTACGTGCGTTTGTGCATATGTCTGTTGTATGAGCGATGAAAAACCTATTATCCGACCACCGTGTAACTACATATGCAGCTACCCCGATACTGGTTATTGTTTCCAGAGCGACAACTTTTCCCATTTGTATTGCCGACGATCATGTATAAATGGGAATGCAAACGACTTTACATCTTTGTTATTGAAGGGCAGAGGGAACGGTCCCATAGAGCACCATCTGTCCTTTGAAACTGACGCTGACAACGCCAGAATAATGGGAGGGGAACTGACGTGGCAGACCAGATTCCACGCAAACGCCGGTATTGTTGCAGATATTTAACCCAAAAATTAAGAGCAAGAATTATTTCCCGTCCGTGTCATCACAGAATACACAGGTCCCTCGTTCATCCCGTACGGAAAAGAGATGTAATAGAATCCTTTTGACAAAGTATTTGGCTAGGGGATCCAACCACCTGTTCTGTCCTATAGAAAGCCCTACTTTGAAAATAAGGCCATATCCCACAAAAAATTAATGGAATCTCAGTTTTCACGGGGCAAACTAATCAAAGAAACTTGGTCTTCCTTGAAGCACTATTCAAAGATAAAAACGCTTGATAATTATAGGAGGTAGTGTGATTTGGCGAACTATAGTTCAAAGGGCTTTGTTCTCGTCCATATCAGAGCAATTAGTCTGTCATCGTAACAAGCACTGCCAGGAAGTAGCTAGCCACTGTTGAAAGCACATCGGGGAACACATAGCTTCTGAACATGATGATGTTAGTGCTCAATCTTCCCTCAAATGACATCTGGCTGCAGAACGAAGGCAAAAGTATTTCCTTCCTCCACATAGGATAGCTGGTGAGCGTTACACCTATGTAACACTCTGTATTCCCAACCGCAGTCAATAGAACCTGAGCCAAGCAAAATAAGTCGTATGGAAGTCCGAGTAGAACGCTGAATGTCCCACTGAACTTCAAAGTCCCCGATAACCTCGGGTGTTCCAGCACCTCGGGCCGAAGCACTACTATTCGTTAAAAGCATAAAGGCCAAAAATAGCCATTTCAGTGCCGCCTGTCTTTGCCGTGAATAATTGTTGCCTAGTTGTCCCGTTTGTAAGTTTTTTTTTCGTTCTTGCTGGATGCATGATTTTTGCTTCCTAATTCAGTCATATGACGTTCTTGTAACAAGGGCGTTTGCCATGGAAACGAAAAAGCAGACTATTAATGGCTGTGCCCGGTTCGTGTCCTTTTTGGCGACTAACACAAGCCATACTTCAGGAAACCTTAAATACAGATTGTCTGACTTTTCATTATAAAATTCCACAGTGGCAAAAATAAGTTTCACGGGGTCTACCGTGGCTGCCGTACATAGCATCAAGTGCCTGTCTTCAAAGAAATTGCTTTCGGCAACTGATTATCATAGATTCGTGCTTGTCTTGTGTTGCTTGTGGAGGAAAACGGGAGTGTTACGGAGTCACAGATACGTTACTCACTTGAGTGAAAATCGATAATCACATGAGGTTCGACATAGGGATTGCTATTTCGATTTTTTAAAGTTCGGAAATAATTTGAAACAATCCATTTATGAAATTGTATGATCCAAGAAAGAGCGAAACGTGTGTACCAGTATCCAATGAAGCTTTCGATCTTTTCGCGTGTACTCTTTTAGGGTTTTTTCTGCTAAGAAAAGAACATTTTCGCACACAATAGAGATGATTTCATACATACAAAATATTAGGAGGGGAAAAGAGATTTTTATTCATAAAAGGGTTCTCCAGTCACAAGCACAGTGGATTACCCTGAATAGCGACCTTAGCAATGCAATCCCACTGTGCCACTGAGCCAACTATCATGCAAAATAATCCAAATATCGTATGAAATGTATTCTTCGGATATTTAATATTACGAAAAGAGCTATGCTATGTGTTTTAAAAACTTCCGCCTTTCAGCTGATTGGGATTTAGTCATTGGATGAAGATCATTATTTGCCTGAGGTTTTTTATTAACACACGAACACATCGCCTAAGATAGCTGCAGATAAGTGCAGTATTGATAGAACGTAGTTGCCATGCGGCCACAGTTTCTACATTAATCGCAGGTGGTCCCACTTTGTACGATTACGCCTCGCCCGCTCGCATCCAAGTCGTCAGTTGCCACAAGTTCATCACCGTTATTGACAAGTAATGTGATAGTTACTTGACTATTTAGCTCACCGATAATGGCGCTGAAAACAATTTTTCGCTGCGCGTTCTCCGCGTGGTGAATTACTGTGCCCAGGCCAAGTCTGTGAAGTAAATATGGAGAAGGCAATCACACCCCTTGCTGGTTTTCGGATTGGATGACCACGGCTCAAGCAACTCGCGCAGTTCTCACCTCTCGCCCGGCTTCGTCGAAATTAATGACGTGGTCGGTTCCCATTGAATGGGCCGCAACCTGTGAGCAGCGTCAGTCTCCCCATTGCTGCAAGTACGTCCATCCACGTCCTGAGTAATCATCCACTTTCTTTGGTGTAGGTGCTTTCCGCAACCGTCCCTTATGCGTCTGGCCCTCCTATCTGCGGCTATCCCTGATGATGGTTTCCAGCGAGAATCCAAAGCATCATCCGAACGAAATTCTTCTTCCCTTTTAAGCGACTTTCTATAGTTCGTTGTTTCATTGATGTCAGTTATTGCCGGGCTATTTAATACCCTTGGTAGCGTAACTGTTCCCCGAAAGGCCAGTGGGACTTAATTATTTATTGGATATACCTTAGTGGTGTAAAATTTGCGTTTTCAATAAAAATTCTATCAGCAACCGTAGTGTCTAAGGTGTCCTGTGAATGATGCGGAAGGCATATAATTAGATCTGCGAACAGCTTCAGCAGACAGCCCCGAAACCATGTTCGAGACTAGTAATATTATGAAGTATGTTAAAGGTTGAACCTGATTCCGGCTGTTGCAAACCAGTGAGGGATTAGTAATTGCTTAATCTAGTGACGGATTATTTGTCAATATCAAAACGAAATGGCACTACTTCAGACATTGTTGAAGTATTTGATGAGAAAAGAAGTAAATTTGTCGCTATCGTGTACTGAGTTACACAACATCTGATTATCAGATTCATGCCTCCACCCACATATTCCTTCTTATGCACATTTAGTCGTATATCTAATTAGACTTTTTGAGTGAGTTGCACATCCGATATTGTTGCGGACGAACAGAGCTGTTTTTTTCCAAGCATTCATATCTCGTTTAGACAAACAAACAAAAGTTAGCGTCGGCCGTTGCCAAAAAGATCTGCTTAATATAACAGAACCAGTAGATAAATACGAACAATCAATTAATACGTTTCCTCTTCCCCTTCAATTTGCTTGTTGGAAGGCCATAAAATCATATCGCATAGTCAATAGCTAGCTCGTCTGATGGGAAAGGTTTGAGCAGTTTTGTTGGCAGTTAGCAACATCACTTCACTCAAAATTAAATGACAACCGTTGGCCGGTAAGCTAACGTAAACTTCGTTAACCTAGGTATTGGTTGTGTGATAAGATATGCCTGCACAGAAGTAATCTGATACGAGTAAACCGATAATCAATTTGCTCGCAGAAACTGAAGCCAAGGAGCCGTCTTAACAAAAACGTTTTGACATTTTGCCGGTAACATTGCTTTTTTACTTCCACTTCATCTATTGAGGGGACTTACAAGCATTCGCCAACCTTACGCTGATCTCCAGCGTTTTCGACTTTTCTGTGCGTCAGATGCAGAAATTTCCTCTGAACACGAGTTAACCTTCGAGTGAAAACGGACTTGTAAGCGCAGTTAATCCTTACGTTTAACAGGCAACTGTCAGCTGGCTGTGGGGTAGAATAAGCTACTTTCTTTGACATTAATCACAGTCTCAATTTCATAGAGGCAGCTACTTCTTAGGCATCTGAAAACTGAGTTAGGATACCTGTCAAGCGTACCCTTCTCTTTGCATATGCCCTCAGATATAGAGACGAAATACCGATGCGAAATCTCGTAGATGATGAGTTCGAGCATGGATCCGAAACTTAGGGTGAATAAAGCTCCTGGTTCAACGATTTCATCTGGTTCTTCTCAACATTAACACACGTTTTCTACTATACAGCCGTATGTAGGCTTGTTGATGAGTGGCTATCTAGCCACACCCTAGAAAAACTAACTTAATGTCAACGTAATGTCGGTTTCTAGTGTTTTAAACCAGTTCAGTTATAGGTTTTATAAATAACATTTTTTATTAATTTGACTGACTTCGACATCTCCACAAATGAAACGAGAAGACATTTTATTTTCGGGGATACTTATTAATTCCCGAGTAGGGCACGGGAATTTGGAACCCCGAACTACAGGCGGCCTTGCCATTAATTTTAAGGGGTAAGGACTAGTGCTAGGCTAGGAACAGGAAGGTAAGTGTTATTGTTTAATTAGGGCTAAAGGCAGGACACAGGAATAAGTGCCCTCACGGAACTTGGGGCGAGGGGATCTATGGTGCGGGGTCCACATTAAAGCGTCTGACCAGTTCCTGTGCAAACCTCGCATACTTATTTGTCGCTGCGGTATGTAAATTTACGTTCTGCATGTTTCCTTTAAATAGCGT